CTGGTGACACAGCCTCCAGGAGCCAATTTGGAGACTGTGCACCTCACAGCTAAAAGTCAGGTCTTTTATCTTGTAAATCCACAAACAGCTGCTGGTCACACAATGTAAGGAAGGGGATGGGGGTGTGACGCACTACACAGCAGAAACAGCAATTGCAAGTCTCCCTGCATACTAGCAAGTTTAGATAAGAAGAAATCTTGTTTTTCTTAGCAAAGAGTAGAGAAGTCTAACAGCAATTAACAACCTTAGTGACCTTACTTTAGCACCACAACTGCCATTTGTAGAGGGCAACAATGGTTAACATATCAATTAGGTAAGATTTTACAATTCTTTACAGAGGAGAGCATTGATTAACATATCAATCCTTTGCCCAGAGGGAAAGGAACACACAGGTATTGCTATGATACAAACGAAGCTATTACAATCTAATGCAATTAACACAATTTGTGAGGGGCTACAGGGTAGAGAAGGGGGTTGTCAGGAGCCATTACCTCAGGCCTTTGTTTTATGGCCTTTTAGGAAGTTAAAACTTAACCTAGTTAGATTTGAAGGGGGAAGAGGAGGGAGAGCAGCAGGCGGGCTTATACAGAACAGGCTTCACAGCGCCATAGTTAGGGGGCCTTAGGTTATAACAAGAGAGGAAAGAGTTTTGAGGTTTTGTCTTTTTATTTTCTAATTAACCTTTGGAGAAAAAAAGACAATATAACTATAGATCACTTATCAAGGAAAGCAGAGGCTGTGTGCTCCCCTTGCCTCCTCCCACACATTGGCAGCACTAGGCTCCTTTACCCTCTGGCTCTTTACCTTTTGGTAACCAACAGAAAAAAAATTAAAAGGGTCAAAGGGTCAATTCTGCCTTTGTCTAGATGTTCCCTCAAAGCATCATGTGGTCATAGGGGTGGGCTCTTCAGAAGTATGGGGTATGAATCTAGAGTATGGGGTGCTAGGATTAAGGCTGTATGATTACTAAATCAGTCCACTGATTGTTTTAGCATAGTTCAGGCTTGGATTAAGGGTATGAGTGCCACACCCACCCTAGGGCAGGTAGTCTGCATATAATATAGGGGACAGAAAGAGTCTTGTCCCTCCTCCCCTCATTGTTGCTTTTGCTGCTTTCCATAGCCATGAACTGTTGCCAAGCCACCTGCCTTGGAACCAGTCAGTTATGGACTGAAACCTCTACAAACTGTGAACCAAGTAAATCTTTCCTCCTTTAACTTTGGGTGTCAAGTATTCTGTCCCAGCAATGAGAAAAGTGACTAAAATGGGGTCTGATTTGGCCCCTTTTTATATTTAACCAAACTTTTGATTTGTGAACTTTTTTAGTTAAATCATGATTTTATTGCTTGAGTACATAAACAAATTTATGCCACCAGGGCAGAAGCTATGGATGATTCATATTTCCAGTTGCAGGGGAGGACTTCCTTGGTTTTATAATATCAAGCCAATCTGTGAATCCAGCTCCCAATGAGGATCAGATGTAACTTGGCATCCTTATCATTTCTGTTCCTCTCAGGATGCTTTTAAACAGCAACTGCTTTCTTAATCAAGTGGTAGAGCTCCTCAGGGAGATCAGGAGCAAGTTCTTTAGGGATTCTCAGATTTTATTACCTGTCACAAAACATACTTGTGCAACATCATGAGAGTCTCTCAAGATCACACCGATTTGTGAGGTTACAAACTTCTTGGCCAGTTTGTAAATCTGCTCCTTCAGGTCATCAGACGTGAGCTTCAGCCAGGTGTGGACACTGTGTCAATAGGGCAGAGCCAACTGGGACAGGCCCTTCCCAGGAGAATGCATGTAACCCATGATGGTGGCAGTCTGATTTGTGATTTTTTTTTAATGTGTGTGTTTTTCCCCCCTTTGGGTGTTAAAGAACAAGTCAAATAAAGAGGAGAGCCAAGACCTGGGAAAGAGTGACTGGTAAAGCCAGGGCCATAACCCCCTAATATTTTTGAGCAACAAGGATCTTTTAGAAGGATGGGCTTCATCTCGGGCACCATCAAACCAAGACGCAAACATATGTATTTTTTCTATGAACTGCATTCTCTATAAGCTTTTCTTGACATAATCAAAATATCTAGTTCTGCCATTTTATCTCTATTTTTCTAGCATGGCAAAACTTTTATCACATAAAATTCTCTCATATCAAAAGTAGACTGTTAATATTTATAGCATTCTTTATATATTTTTCTCTGTCCTACTTACTATAAACTTTTTATAACAAACTTGGCTGCTGATGCCTGAATTTTAAAGTGTCCTTCTCTCTCTCTTTTCCTATTCCATCTTCCTCCTTTGGTCTTCAGATTGTTACATTTTTAAATTTGGCTGCCAGCAGACTTTGAAGTAACACTGATCACACTCAACACCTGCAGTAAGCAGAGAAAAGAGCAAGTTAACCCTGTAATTGTGGCTTAAGAATTTACAATCCATAAAAAGTTTTAAGCATATTAATTAAATAAAAATAAGAACTTAAATTGGAACCCATAAGTAAATTTATCAATTAACTAAGATGTATAATAATGGGCTCTATTTGTGGCTCTGGGCTGGCTATCATGCCACGCATGAACATTTTATGATTGACTGTCCACTGGAGGTCAGGGAGTTGCACCTCTCTAACTCTCTCCTGGCCAAGGAAAAGGGCAGTCCTCCCCTTGAAGGCTGAGGCTGCCACACCAGGAGTTGGGCCCTCCTTGGCTGGTGCCAGCTCCTAAGGTGTTGGGAATTATGCAGTGGGGTTAGGTCTGCTACAGGGTCCCACATGAAAGAGGGTACTGGAGGTGTATTCTTTTGTATCTTATTAAGGCCCCAAGGGTTTTTTTGTTTTTGTTTTTGTTTTTGTTTTTTGGTACCACGTACTGAACTCAGGACCTGTGCTTTTCAGGCAGGCTCTGTGCCTGATGAGCTAAATCCCCTGCCCAAAGTCCCAAGTTTTTAGGGGAAAAAAGACAATTAGTCTTCGCTGCCAACACAGATCATAATCTATCTCTTCTCACGACTCGTCTTTATCATTAACAAATTCAATCAACACCTAGGCCTCGTCCACTCTAAACTTTGGCCAGAAGATGAATGGGACAAGGATAGAGGTTTGTGGTCAAATGAAACAGTATTTTGTCATCTAAGCTTTCTTTTTGTTTTTCGTCTGTGGGTTGTTGCCCCAAATCCTTAACATTAGTCCGAGAGAACTATCCTGAGGTATTTTGTTCCCCAAACCCTTTGATTCCTTCATCTGTCCTGACTAGGAGGCATATTTATTTTTTTATTCTGTTTTCCCAAAAAACCCAAGGCTCAATCTGTCATGTGCCAAGATGTTTTGCCACTTACACACTTGCCCCCAGTATTCCCAGTGGATTGGTTCCAGATCATGAAGTACACCAAACACTGAAAACATTCAAGTCCTTTACACGAAATGGCACAGTATTTGCACCTAAGTGAGGCACATCCTCCTGTATATTTTATTTGATTTCCTTTTCCATGTAATTTAAATAATCTCTAGATTAAATAAAAATAAGAACTTAAATTGGAACCCATAAGTAAATTTATCAATTAACTAAGATGTATAATAATGGGCTCTATTTGTGGCTCTGGGCTGGCTATTATGCCACGCATGAACATTTTATGATTGACTGTCCACTGGGGGTCAATACTACCCAATAAGTGTAAGTGCTATGCAAATATCTGTCATGCTGTATTAAGGAAGAACAATAAACAACCTGTACATGTTCATTATAGATGCAATTTTTAAATATTTTCAATCTGGGTTTGTTTAAATTTAAAATTTAGAACCTTCAGATATAAAGAGCCAACTATATTTCACTACATTTGTAGTCCCTAATATTTTATATATTTTGTTGCTATCACAGAGGATATTTTGTCACATTATCTGATTGTTTATGCCGGTCCAAAGAAGTGCTACTGGTTCTTTTTCTAACTTCTGAAGACAATGTCTTTAATAACAAAAATATTTATGGCTATATATTTTTCTCTGAATATATATTTACGCTGGGTTGCAGAAATTTGAGAATAAAGTGTTTATATTTCACTGTTTTATAGTCTGTAGTTTTCCAGCTGTCAGTTTTTAAGTTTATCTAGTCAGTGTTTCTTAAATTCCAACAGGTTTTTCTGTGTGTGAATTTTTTGTTATATATTCCCAACTTTCATAGTTTAATAGGTCTTAATGAACATTAAAATATTAATGTCCTTTAGAATATAATTTTTTTTTGGTGCCGAGGATTGAACTCACGATCTTGTGCTTACCAGGCAAGCATTTAAGCCACTGAGCTAAATCTCCAGCCCTAGAATATAATTTTTGTAAATGTTCCATGAACACTTTCATGAAAATACAATATTCACAGAAGGAATTAAGTTTTTCCATTAATGTTTTATGTCTGAATATTATTCCATACTGGGGATCAAACCCGTGTCTGCCATAGGCTAGACAAGTGCCCTGCCACTGAACTACCCCCGCCTCGTGTATTTTGTCAGGCTACAAATCCGTTCTACCCAATTTGAAGTAATACTGTCATTCCTGACTTCAGTGCCCTCATATTCGTTGCACTAATCCACTGATGCTTAGATCCGCGAGCCCAGGACTAGAAGAACCTTTATCCGTAGATGTACCACCGAGTAGCCCTGGACATTAGTACCTCGGTGGCTTTGAGGATCCAAGCAGGGACGCGGGCCGGAAGTTGGGGGCGGGACTTCCGGGATCAGCCGAGCCAGGCCAAGACGACTGGGTTCCGCGATTTGGCAACTCAGCGGGCGAGACACTGCAGGAGGTAAGTTTGCCAGGCAAATCTTGAGTCGGTCCGGGCATCCTCAGTGCCTTAGGTTCCGAGGTGGGGGCGGTCTGGAGCCATGTTGGGGAATGTGGGTATAGCACCTTCCGGGGCCGTACGGCTGGGTGTCTCGTAGTGGGAGCGCCTCGCAGTACATCGCCGCGCTGGGCATCGCCCGGAATCTGCCGGGGAGGGCGCGGCTTAATGTGACGTCAGTAACGTCCTACGCAGACTACCTCGCTGTAACTGACACCCCCCCCACACCCCACCCCCGTTTTGGCTGGGATGCTCGCTGAGGAGCGGTAATCGTTTGGGCTCCTGGAAGGAGTAGGGCCTGAGGAATCTGCCAGCACATATCCTGAGGTTCCATCTGCGGAGGGTTGCTACGAGGTCTTCTGTACCTGGTTCAGCTTTTCACCAGGGGAAAATGCAGAAATTCTAGGCTCATTCAAGCTGTTTGATAAACACGTTGTATTGTAATAGTTACGCAGTTCAGGTTTCCTTGCTGCCTACCAGGCAGAATGGCCCATAATTCCTGGAGGTTCTTTCACATAGGCAGTATATCTGGGAAGTAACTGGCTTGTAGGGTCTTTCTCAAATTTTTAAGTGCTTGTATGACTAGCTTGAGTCTACCAGGATAATATGTGACAATAATTTTAATTCTTTCTGCAAAATGCTTTTTGTCGTCTGGTGGTTTAGCATATCCAGAGATTCCAGAGATTGGGACACAGATATAGGGTAATGAGCTTTCTGCCTACTACCGATTAAGTTTATGTTCTCTGGGCAAGATGGTACAGAGAAGGAGGTCAGAAAAACAAGATGTAGGGGCTGGGGATTTAGCTCAGCGGCATAAGCACCTGCCTTGCAAGCAGGCAGTCCTGAATTCGATCGATCCCCGGTACCGATAAAAAGTTAATAAAAAAAAAAAAACAAGATGTAAAGCATGCACACAGTTTGGCCCAATTTATAATTTTTAAAACATTATATATATATATATATATATATATATATATATATATATATATATTTGCTTTTGTAAACCTGGAAGAATAACCTAAAACTTGGAAGAGGAACCAAGATTTGTTAGATTTGTTCACATTTTAACCTCCTCTTCCCTCCAGCCCCTAGTCAGACCCCAGAACCACACACCTCCACCCTTACCTTCGAAATTTCGAACCATATGATTCTGCCCCTATTAATAATGATGAAAACTAGAAGTATTTTTTAAAAACATGCTGAATAAAAATATGGAAATGATTGAATCTCCCTATGATAAGGGAGAGTATTTTCTCCCCATGGAAACTGGGCAGTCTCTTGGTCTATTTCTGGTATGGCATGAATGAGCTCCATAGTGTTTTCTCTTCATTGAATCTCATTTGACACTATATTTCTGAGTACCCTGCCAGGTTAATCTTTTGAGATGTTTTATTTTTATCTGTGATTTAGAAGTGCAGCCAAGGTCTCTTCCAATCTGTCCTTGGTGACCATCCCTCTGAGCTCAGTCTTTGCAGTCTTCTACAAGCTTTGAACCTACACTTATTCTCTGACCAACTCATTAAGACTACTCATTAAGACTACTCATTGTGGGTTCTTCCGTGATCTTGCCTCAGAAAGCCTGTCCAGCCCTTCTTCCTTGTCCAAGGAGACCATGAGTAATGCCTTACCATTCTCCTGCCACCTTTTTTCAGAGAAACCACTCTTCAGCTCCTTTCCAGATCACCTTGATTGAGCAGTTGGAAATGCCACCGCCTTCTGACATTCCCCTCAACTTCATCAAAACCTGAAGTGGATAAGTCTTCCCTCCCCTAGGCCAGAGTCTGTTGGCCAAGACACTGCATCTGAACAGAGTTTGTGCTCCATCTTGGGTTAGTGAAAGGCTGCCTCCCTGTTACCCTGTTAAATACCTGGAGCCCTCAGAAGCCTGTGCTGTAGACCTGTATTTCACAGAGTGCAGGCAGCACTCCTACTGCAAGGTCTGTAGGACACAATGTAGTGTCTATCAGGGTGTGCCCTGCTCTTTTGATTTTTCTGTCCACATTGGCTGTCTCATACTTCCTGGAACCTGGCCTCCTTGCCCCTTACTGTCTTCAGCCTTTACACTCAGCTTCTGCCTTGGACTTTTTTCCCCTAATACCTGTATGACTCTTCCCTTCCTTTACCATTGGGTTTCTGTAAGGCCTACCTGTCTACCTTAGTTAAAATGCCCCTGCTGCCTCTGTCAAAAGCAGTTGCCCCCACTCACTGATGGATTTGCTATGATCTGTTACTCCAATGAGCTCCAGAAGAACTATGGGTTGCTGCTGTGTCCCATAGTCTACCCAGGACAGATACCAGCATATAGGAAACACTGAAAAATGCATATCTGATAGAAGAAATTTGGGCCAAGTGTGGTAGCACACACCTGTAATCTCAGTACTCCTGGGATTGAGGGAGGAGGATAACTGCAAGTTTGAGGCTCACCTAGGCTACAAAGTTGAGTTCAAAGCCAGTGTGTACTACATAGCAAAACCGTGTCTCAAGAAGACAAAAAAAAAAAAAAAAAAAAAGAAAGAAAAAGAAATTTGGTCTGTAGGTTGACAGACATTTTTCACTGGATTTCTGCCAACATATCCTGCTTTGTCTTTACTCCTGAGAGGCACAGACATTTGTGTCAGACCCCACTCCCTAGTGGGTTACAGGGGAGGGTGGGGCTCATGAGGGTTCGAGCAGTTAATACCTCAGTCCATGTCAGGAGCCCATGTGCCTTTAGGTAAAAGTATACCATCTCCTGCCCAGAGGAGGTGGCCGAGATTGGAGAGAGCCCAAGTTTAGTGGTCTTCACAGAATAAAGGATGTTATTACCACTGGATGGATAGAGTCACCACAGAGGTTGGTATAGGTGTCGAAATGAACTTGTGGCATCAACATGCATGGGGAGATGAGCGAGCACCAGGTTCAGTGGGAGGGCTTTTCAGGAGGGTGGAGACAGGGACACCTGCTTTGGCTCAGACTTTACTTCTTAGGTTGGCAGTACTGGCAAACAGTATTTGAGTGACTGTATGTGTGTCCACAATGTGGCCTGCCCTTGGCTGTTCAACCCTTGAGGGTTTTGTTTCTGTTCAGTAGGTGGTTATTGTGCGTTCTGCTTCATAACATTGTAAGTGTCAGGAGCCAGGATTGTGAGGCAGACCCACAGCAGGAAGCAGACACTGGGAAGGCTGCTCTCCTATCATGATGGGATGAGTCCTTAGAGGGTGCCTGTGACCAAGGCACTCACTCCGCCTTCGGAGTCAGCATCTCACCCTTCTACCTGCAATCCTGGCTCATGATTCTGTGTCTCCATGGCTGACTCTCTTCCCTTGGATCCAAGATCAGGTAACATAGTACCAGTCCTTGATACCTAACAATACCACGCCCCCTGCAAGTCTCAGGCTGCAGGGGCAGAGGACAAAATTTCTTCCTAGGAGAATGGAACAAGCCTTTCTGCACACTGATGTGTGTCCTTGCTGGTCTTCAGGTCCCAGCTATGCCTAGCCTCAGAATTTGCCCCAAGGAGGCAGAGATGGAACTCTCAGCTCTAGGACTATCCCCTTGGATCCCTGCAGCACAGTCTTATGTGAGTGATACTCCTGTTGTGACCCACCCTAGATCTCTAATCTGTGGGCCCCTCATCTGTGGCATTGTTGAGCTGGAAACCACCCCCACTTTCAGCAGCCAGGTACTAAGAACAGGTTCCCCAGTTGCGCCCTCATTCTGGGAAGATTTATACATTACCTTGTGCTCATCGTAGGAGGCATCTCTGCCATACCTCATGGACTCAAGGGGCCAAGACTGAATGTCAGAAAGAAAGTTGACATGTCCTGGCCTCTAATGCCCTGGATAGGATACTGGTTTTCCCTTTGACCAGAGTTGTGACATGATGACTGCCAAGTGCCTTTGCTTTGCCCTCTGACCCTTTCCAAGCCCAACAAACCAGGCCAGTAGGTTCTGTCCTACTCCCTTCTAGCTACATTCAGACGGTCCATTTGCTCTTACCCCCTCAAAATCCTTTGCAAAGACTTTACCAGCTCACCCATGTAGACTTCTCAGCAGTGAATAGGCTGGCTATTAAGTGTTAACTTCCTCTGCTTGGGTCAGATAGCTGCTGTTATGCAAGGGAGACATTCTCCTCAGACCATGTGTGGAAAGGGATGGTTAGGCCAAGAGTAGAGATGATATAAGACAGACCTGATGTGTGCTAAACAGAGCAAATTTTGAACAATGGGAGGAGGAAGCAGATAGAGAATGACAGTCACAAGAAGGTCCCTAGAAGTGGTGTTGCAAATAGGTTTGCTTACCAGCCTAACCAGAGAGAGAATGTTAAACAGATGGCCAAAAGACCCCATTAGGTATATTGTACAGAGAATAGTGAGAATGGTGAGAATATCCAGGATTCTGTGAAACAGGAAAACAAGACAATGAGTACTCATGTTTTAAAAGCAACCGTGGAGCAAATTGGCGGAGTAGGCAACTCCAAACACCTGTTTCTCCATATCACGATCAAAACAAATAAATAAACCACCAAGTATAACCCATCAGAACCAGCTTTTTCAGACCTCTGGAAAATTGTCAATGTTTTATAGCAACACTAAGTCAAGAAGAAGGCAATTTTAAAATGATAAGAAAATTTTGTAGTATTCTTACGTGGCTATGTTCTAAACCCTTTCTGGTTCATTGGCATTTCTAAAGCAGCTTGCATTCCCAGTGTGGGACATGGTCCCTGGTCACAGAGGGAGCAAAGGATATCTTACTACATCTGTTTTAAACTATGTGGGACTACTTGAAGAACTGTCATGCACTGTACATCTCTATTCTGCCCAACTCAGAACTGTGATCTGGGGCACTACTTATAAAAACAGCCAGACACCCACCTAGAAAGAAAAGCTGCCCTTAGGGGAAAATGAGAGCCTTCATAAGCACAATTGAGAAATTTAGAAAGTCACACTTATGCTTAGGATAAGGTGTGAGCTTGGAAAAGACCTATGAAGATTGTAAGCTTTTACCTCGTGCTGGTGTCCAGGCTTGATGACAGCAAGTAACTGAGATGTTGTAAACAATGTTGAAGGAGGGTCCTAAAATAGGTCCTGTCCACAGACTGGGAAAGGTGTTTTACTTTCCTTTTGTTCTTAATGTTCAAAGAAATTTCTGTCAAAACACTAGGTAAAGCCAGGGTATAGTAGTCATTGGTGGAGTGCTTACCTAGAATGTGCAAGGCCCTAGATTTAATCCTCAGCACTACGTGTACACCCCCATACACACACACAGGCCAGAAAAGCGAACAAAGAACAAAAAACAATAGCTGAAAACAAGCTAAAGAAACAGCTCCTGGGATATGTCATTTGTGGTGACAATGTACCAGAAAGCACCCTTTGCAAAAATAATTTGGCAAAAACACAGAATAATGACTACAGCCTTCAACAATTAAGATGAAAAATGACTATTGAACTTACTGGACAAACACTTTAAATCACTTGTTCAAATACAGTAAGAAAGCTAAAATGAAACTATGAAGAGAGTGCTAACTGAACCAGAAAAATAAAATGTAAAAAAAAAAAAAATCAGACTGTCAGTAAAGATACATAAATTATAAAAATGAACCAACTAGAAATTCTGGAACTGAAAAATATACTAAAATAAATATTTCAGAGGAAGGTTTCAACAGCAGATTAGAGCAGGAAAAAGAAAGAATCAGCAAACTTCACAGTAAGATGGTGGAAATTGTCTAGTCTGTGGAGCAAAAAGAAAAAAGTTCCAGGAAAATGAACAAATTCAGTAGACCTGTAGGACAACGTGAAACAGATGGACATACATAGTATGGAGGTCCGAGAAGGACATGGGAGAGACAGGTGAGACTATCTGAAGACCATGTCTGAAAATCCCCAAATTTGATGAAAGACATGAACCTGTATATCCTAGAAGCTCAGCATACTTGAGGAGGATAAAGTTCAAGAAACCTACACCAAGTCTCACTATAATTAATCTTGAGTGCAGCAAGAGAAAAATAATTCATCTAAAATAATGCATCCCAATAAGATTAACAGCTGATTTTTTTCCTCAGAAGGAAAGTGGAGGTCAGAAAGAACTGGGCTGACTGATTCAAAGTGCTGTGAGAAAAGCCTGTGAACCAAGAATTTTATATGTGGTAAAATTATCCTTCAGAAACGAAGAATAGGGCTGGGGATTTAGCTTAGCAGCATAAGCGACTGCCAACCCGGTACCAAAAAAAAAAAAAAAGAAAAAAAAAAACGAAGGGTAGATTCAGACATTGCCAGATAGACAAAGCTTGAGGAGATTTATTATGAATATATTTTCCCTAAAAGAAACGTTAAAGGGAGTCTTAAAGGTTGAACTGAAAGCACAGTAGACAGAGACTCAAAGCCGTACAAAGAAATAAAGACCTTTGGTAAAGGTAATTACATAGGTAAGTATACAATTTTGTATTGTAGTTTTGGTTTGTGACTCTACTAATTGTATGCATAATTTAAAGAACAAGTGACGTAAAAAATAGTCTATATTCTGATTTGGTTTGCTTTTTTTGTGCTGGAGATTAAATCCAGGGCTTGCTTGCATATGGTCTACCACTGAACACACCCCTAGTCCAATAAGTCTGTGGTTTTTGAGCTCACGATTTATTATAAAGATGTAATTTATGATAACAAATCATAGAAGTAGTAGCTATCAATTTAAGAGAAGAGTTTTTGTGTGCTGTTGAGACTAACTTGGTGTCATCTGTATTAGGATATAGTAAATGGTAAGAAAATATCTAAAAATGTATAGAAATGAAAATAAGGAAAAAATTATAATGACACATTACCAAAAAAGTCAACTACACAAAAGAAGGGAAGTAGTAAGGGGCTGGGGATTTAGCTCAGCGGCATAAGCGCCTGCCTTGCAAGCAGGCAGTTGTGAGTTCGATCCCTGGTACCGGTAAAAAGGAAAAAGGCAAAAAAAAAAAAGGGGGGGGGGAGTAGTAGAGGAGTTGAGGAATAAAAACATAAAAGTTACACCAAATAGCAGTATAGTAGAGATCCTACTTTTTTTAGTAATTACTTTAAGTGTAAATGTATTAAACTTTCTAGTGAAAAGATCGATATTGACAATAAATAAACATGGTTCAAGTATAGACTGTCTACAGGATATGTACTTTAGAGTCAAAGAAAAAAGTTTAAAGTGAAAGATGGAAAAAACATTTTATGCAAATAGAAACCCAATGAGAACTGACTTAACTGTACTACAATACCAGACAAAGTAAGTCCAAAACCTGATACAAGAGAAGCATTATATATTAATAAAAGGATAGGTTCTTTAAGATATAGCAATTATAAATATATACACCAAGAAAAGAGCCCCAAAATACATGAAACAAATAGATTTGAAGAGATAAAGTTCTACAGTAATAATTGGAGAAATTGGAGACCCCAGTACCCTAATTCCAAAAAAATTGGATAGCGTGTCTAGACAGAAGATCATTAAGAAAGCAGAAACAGTCCTTCAGCCTCCCAAGTACTGTGGTTATACATGTGTGCTGCCATACCCAGCAAGAAAACAGAAGACTTGAATAAAACTAAAAATCAACTGGACCTAATAGACATTACTAACATCTGATGTTTGTATCCCTCTGAAATGCGTATCTAAGATGTAAACCCTATTATATTTCTGTCAATAGGTAGGGCTTTGCGGAGATGAGTAGGTCATCAGGGCAGAACCCTTGTAAATGAAGTTAAGGACTGAGCTTGGTTGGCCCTTTTCTTGTTCTTCTGCCACTTGACACATGGAAGCCACCATCTAGGAGGAAGAAATCTTTATTACACAGTAAATCTGCTAGCACCTAGCTCTTAGACTTTGCAGCCTCCGTAACTGTGAGCAATAAATTTCTATTATAAATTACCCAGTTTTGTTTGGAGTTTGTGTTCATTTGTATTTTTGTTTGTTTGTGAGAGGGGTTTCTGGGAACTCTCCTAATGACATGATAAATGCTAGGCAGACTACCTCTGAGCTTTCTCCTTTGCCACTAAAGTACCTTTTAATAGCAAACTAAAGAGACTAAGGAACACATTAAAAAACTTCATCCAGTGCAACAGATACACATTCATAAACACCATATGTCAGGCCATAAAAAAGTCTCAGTAGCTAGATGGGGTGGCACATTCATGTAATCCCAGCAATTGGCCAAGGCAGGAAAATTGCCATGAGTTTGAGGCCAGCCTTGGCTATACAATTAGTTCAAGACCAACCTAAACTACATAATGAGACTCTTTCTCAAAAATTAAAAAAGTCTCAAAATTAAAAATATTGAAATCATACAAAGTGTTTTTCCAACCAATAACATGAAGAAAACTGGAAAATTTTTAAAAGGTAGAAATAAAGCTACTAGTGGGTCAAAGGAGAAATCAAAAGGAAAACAAATACAGATAAATGTTTAAAAACACAATATAGTCAAACTAAAGAGATACAGCCAAGAGAGGTTTTTAACTAGGAAAGAAAGGTGATTTAGCATGAGAAAATCAATCAGTGTAAATTTTACCACATGAATAGAATGAACCAGAAGAACCATGGTCTCAACTTGTATAGAAAAGGCATTTGACAAAATCTAACAGTCATCTTTTAAATTAATGAAAGACCTTTATAATTAATAAAATGCTTATGAGAAATCCACAGGCTAGCAATCAGATAAGGAAC